CCCTTGTGATGATATTAGTCCTATGAAAAGACAGCAAAATTACCACGAGAAAGAATTATCTTTCAAACAGAAAGGTAAATATTTCCTCTTAACTGAACATTTTCAACTGTTCAGTTTATCCTAAGCAATTTCTTTTTCTAAGATATCTGGTTGGAAAATGATTGAAGGTATAGGACACTCCTGCCATAAGATCATGAGATATTACATTTATGTGATTGATTTCTGTATGTCAGTTGCTTTTTCTTAACATCATTTTGCATCTGCTTCCAGAGTGTGATATCTAAATATACATCATTTTAACTGCTTATATAAATCCGTATTACATGCTTATTTATTTTAATTATACACACACGTACAAATAATATTAAGTTCCTTTGCAAGCTGAGTGCACAGAGATGCTTCTTTTGATTATGGTTCTGTGACAGAGACAGTAAGAAGAAAAATGTTCCTTTGTTGTTCACAATCCACTGAAAATAAGTGAGAAGGCATTCTTGATAAATACCCATTGTGCCTAATGTAGGCAAAGTTTCCATATTCTTCATCAATTATTTACTTGATAAGACAGCATTCCCTTTTATATCTCAATCACTTTCTTTATTGGGCAATTCTTTTGTATTTTTTGGGATTATGTAGATTTTTTTTTTGATGATCCCATTTAATATTAAACTAATTTTGAAAGTTTGCAATAATGAGTCAGGAAAATGTAAAAAAAATTGCTACATGTATGTTTAAAGTTGTATCAAGTGAAAAACAAGTTGATATCCTTTTATAGAATGCATAAATCTAAATACATTTATAACTTATAATGCTGCCACTTACACATTTGTTCCTCTCTATCCTCTAATTACATAGATAGTTAATTTAGTTGAAGGAATTACAATTTATCCTTACTATTCCCAAACTTCTCTTCAGTCTCTGTTCTTCTAGGTACCATTTCAATTATCCGTAATAAACAGATAAAAACAATTTTAATAAAGTATGACTTATATTTATTTGCTTCAAGATCAAACATCATTATTTACTCAGATCTCAAATATGGAAATGTTACCTTGCAGAATTCAACTATTTTGCTTTTTTTACCTCACATTTTAAAAATATGTCACACATTTTTGGTTCTTTTCCTTTAGGCCTGTTACAAAGCCCTGTGTTTTTGATATGTTGTAGAGTTTTTGCAAGCAGCGAGGTTTCCACAACCATCCCACTGAGAGCATTCCACCAAAGAGATTACGGAGATAGAATTAGAAAGAAAAATCCCCAAGTAGAAAACATTTTAATTAAAGAAAACCACGGAAAATATYGGTGCCTAATCCTTTGCTTATCCTAAATATATCTTTTCTTTTTTCTTAAAAAAAAATAAAAAGAACTATTTGTATTTTGGCACACAAAAATCCTTTAGCTCTTTTTAGTTAAGTGTTGCTGGATATCATAGTACAGGCATAAGTGGATGTAAGCAGTGTTTTCACACAATSATAGAATGCTTAAGGTTGGAAGGGACCTCCAGAGGTCATTAATCCCACCCCCCTGCACAYGCAGGCGCGTCTCCCTTTTTCTGAGACCGTTTACAAGGCAGTACATACTACTGTTTTCCACCTGCGACTGTGTSTCTTTCATTGTCCTCAGTCGATGACGACAGCCCCCAAGCCTGGGCGCGTGGCCGCAGGTATCTGCCCTGCCCCGAGCGGCGCGTCTGTCCCCTGGGCACCGAGGGTGGCACCGGTGCCGGTGGTGGCTAACAGTGGTTAACAGAGGGGTTAACGAGCACTGCCCGTGCGGCCATGTGGGACACCTGCCTCCTGTGGAAGTGTGCGGTGCACATGAACGTGGCGCCGAAAGCCTGAGGCGAATCCCTCCCGCCTAAGGCGCCATATGGCGCCTTAGGCGGGAGGGATTCGCCTCAGGCTTTCGGCGCCACGTTCACGTGCGTAATGGCGCCTTATGCGGGAGGGATGGCGCCTTAGGCGGGAGGGATGGCGCCTTAGGCGGGAGGGATTCGCCTCAGGCTTTCGGCGCCATGTTCATGTGCGTAACCACACACACTTCAGGCCTTGCCATTTGTATTGGGAGGCAGGGCGGTTCAGGATCCACGGCAAAATTTGTCAGCTTTCTATGGCAAGGCTTTTGGAACATCTGATAAGGATGGTTCATGCCTAGTGCTGGTTTGCCTGGGTGCATTCTCCCTCTGTAAGTACTGTTGGGGTGCCAGCCTCGGATTTTTATCCTAAACTTTTTCTGTCGACCTGTTGTCTTCTGTCGACTAGCCAACCTGTTATCTTCTGTGCGTCTCCGCTGCCTCTTCCCAGCCCGATGCTGCATCACTGGGCAGTGGGGCCTTGTGTCCCGGCCTCGCGCCAGTGAGGCAGGGTGGGCTGGACAGGGGCTGTGTGAATCCACCCAGAGGCATCAGCACTTGCTCTTCTCCCGAGGGAAGGCGCTTTGGGCTCTCCAAACCATCCAACTTTCCGGTCCCAGTGCAGTGACATCCAGCCAGCCCGGCGTGTCCTGTTGTGTGTGTCCAGGAGCCAGCCTAAAGTAAAACTGTAAGGTGAACAGCTTTGCATCAGCGCCTTCSTATAGAACTGTGGACTTCACACAGTGAGAACTTAGGGAACCWTTAATCATCCATTCCTGCTCACATCCTCACTACTTAGTTTATCCTGAAACCAGTACTGCAGAGCTGCCTTCACCCTGCTGGCTTTCTAGGCCAACCTGCCACCCTCTGGATTAGAAAATATCATTAGTTTATGGCAGCCTGCCACTGGTACCAGCAAGTGCTAATGGCTCTTTGTTTAGAATTTAGAGGTGAAGACTTTGATGTAAGAATGAAGATTCTGGAAAGGAAAAAAAAAAAGGGAATCTAAAGAGACAAGATTAACACTACTGCACAGCAAACCAGAACTTTTTCTTGGTATTTTCTTAGTAGAAATCAGTAAGTTTTGCAGATGTTTTGGGCCAGTTTTCTATGCCGATTTAGCAGTATCCATAAGAAKAATTCTGTTGAATTCCTATTCCTAATTCTGTTCAAGTTTCCTACTTGAACAGAAGGGTTTCACCAATCTCTTTARGGTCTTTTTGAAAAAATATAAGAGGAATTTAGGACAAGCATGAAGGTAAGTTTAGCTAAAATCTCATGGTAAGTTTGACTGTGATGCAAAATGAATTTGTCCATAATGGGATAAGTTTCCTTCTCCGCTGCCCGTCCTTCGTTCCCAGAGGCTCCTCTGAGTTCTCAAAGAGGCCGCAGTGGACGCTCCCAGTGAGTCGACTCCGCGGCCGATTCCAGTCCCGGGAGGACACAGGGCTGTCAAGTATCCRACGGGCTCTGTGAGGCGCAGAGGGCCGTGGGCTGCTGAGGGGATCTTGACATGGGAGAATGTGACCCTGCACGTACAGGTTTCGGCTCCGTTTCTGAAATAAATCTGCGTGACAGTTTCTTGGGTTTTGCGCTGTTCAAACATGCAACTATTTGGTTCACAGAGTAACCAAGTTTAACTATAGGAACAGCACTTGTTAATGTCAAAACATTGTTTGGATACAACTTAATCTCCTGTGATGGTGTACTTATTTGTTATATGCCTGCTTGAGTTATTTTCATCAAGAAATTCTGTCTATGTGTCGCTTTGGCAACATCTTTGCAGAGTTTACAGCTTTGAAAAACATGTTGGCATCAACTATGCAGTCCTCCTAAACAGCTGCTCTGCAGTCATGCTGTTTTAACATGCCACCACACATGGCTGAATTATGCAAATAGTTAATATTAAATGACTGAGATACAAGAACAATTTGTACACTTGATAAAGCTGCTCTCTGGAGTATAACATCCATTCACATAACTGAATTAGTGTGGGACAAATTAAAGACAGCAATAGACAAACGGAAGGTACATGTCAAAATCGTTTGAGGAGACTGAATGTTGTTTTTAAAAATCAGTATTTAATAATGCAAGGAAAATACAGAACGTGACGATAATTTTCTGGTAAGAGTTAAAAAGTAAGAGAGCAAATGTGTGWTATTCAGCTATAAATATGAGTTATAATGTCCTAGTTGAGAAATAAAACAATGTTAATTATTTGAATGGTAGTGATTTGGCACTGCTGGGTGTTTGTTGAAGAGCACAGCAGTTATAAAGAGCAAGGAAGCAAAAACATTAAGAGTTAAAAAATGTGAAAATGTTTTTGACTTAACTTTGAAAATCTTTCTACTGACTTTGCAGTTSTAGCTCTCCAGTAATAAATTGTTAATTGCAAGGTGGAGGATAAAGTAACAGATACAGGGAAAGAAAATGTTAGGCACAATGATGTGCAAGGAGAAAAAGGAAGATGGCCTTTTAATCATATCTTTTTTTCATTTCTCATGGAGCATTTTGAATAATCCGTTTTTCTTCATCTAAAGAGTAATAAAAATATTTTCTAATGAATTGTTTAGAAAGTTATTACAAAATCCAAAGTGTATGCATTTCTGTACCTATCTTTTTCCCCGTTGAAACTCTTTTTCTTTCAACTTCTTTCAACTTCTTTCCCACTGTTTTTTTTTTCCTTTCTTTTGCTTTTTTTTTTTTTTTCCTGTTGGTCCTGCAAACCAATATTTTCATTAATAGATTTTTTTTCCTGATCTGGATATAAATATATTAATATGTATTTCTAGTAATATATTCATAAGACCTCTACAAAAGACCTAATCCTCAAAAATACAGAAGATTTATTTTACATTAAATGGAAGGATAAATTAAAAGGATATAGTGGGTTCCTTAATGCATGATGAATATTATCTTTTATGGTATTTAAGCTTTACAGAACTGGAGTGGTATTAATTTCATCTGTCTTTTTTACTAGTGTCTAATTAGTAACCATTAAGAACAGCAAGCAAATGATTGCTTTTATTACAGTTACTGATCTGTTTAGTACTTTAGTTGAATATAAATTTGTTACGAACAAGTAGTTGTTTTAATAGGCTCAAATATAATTTTACTAAATAACTTAGCATTGCTTTTTATTGTTTTACAGGAACTAGCAGTAATGAAGCAGGTTTTAATTAGTCTACAAGGTAAAAGCTATGAACAAAATTTACCTCAGTCTCATGCTGATACAAAAAGTGCGACTACAAAAAGCAAATCCAGCCCTTTGGTAAAACTGCTACCAGAACATGAAGAAGAAAATGTATTTACACCTAAACCAACATTATTTGTAAGTACTATAATTAAATAAAATGGCATAAGCTTTTTTTAAAATAATTTTTCTCACTTTCTAAGAAGAAAAAAAATGGGTTCATAGTTCAAGGAGGTATGTAATTAATTCACCTTTCTTTTTCTCTCTCTTTGTGGTGGTGATGGTTTATATTAAGGAGGTAAATTGCTGGTAAATTGTTTAAGATTCTGTTTTGCTGTTCAACTATTTCTACATCTTAAGTTAACAATAAGGTTTTTTTTTAATCATATAAATTTATGAGTTCGAAAGACGTTGCCATATTGAATATTTTAATAGGTAAAGGGATGCAATTTTGAATATATATAAATTTATATTATTTGAATATATATAATATATWTTTTTTTATATATCATATATATTAGATTAAGAATGAAGAAATAGAGGTACTTCTGTATATTAATTTTTACATACATGCGTAGGATTTGTATCACCTCTATTATTAAGGATGTGTGATTAAATACGAAAAAAAAATCTTTTATACCTTCATATACTGAATATTTGGATTTAAATACCTCAAGTTTTCTGCTTTTAGTTTTCATTATATTAGCTTATTACTGCCTTTAATATTCTTAGTAATACAAAAGCTTCAGGAAAATCTTTTTTTTTTTTCAGTATAGCTGTCCTAAAGTGCTAAATTTAAGAGCGATAAGGACCTGTGCTGTGTCACAGACCACAGCGTGGCGTGAGTTCGCACTGCTGGAGGCCACTCGGTGCCAGAGCAGACTGAACTGCATCCACACAGCAGAGCATTTGGCCCCTCACTTTTCTCCACGACTCCATATGATAATACCTTGTTTCAGAAGTATTATTTTTTAGGCAGAGAACTTTTTAAATTTCAAAGTGTCTTAAATATTGAGCAATGAGGAACCCCCAAAATAAAATCCAGCAGACTAGAGTAGGTGGAAACATTGCCTGGTGTTAAGTCTTCAAGGAAAAGAAAGAACAGAGAGCAGACAGAAAAGAGGACTAGAAAGAGACAATTTAGAGGCAACAGGCAGAAGAGACATTACACGTTAAAGCAAGAGATTAGACTCAGCCTGGAGAGCAGAACCCTCTTCAGGTTGTTCCTCCTTCACTATTTTAATTTTATTTCTCTATATAAATATCCACTAAAACTACCACCAGARTATTACACAGTCCTGACTGTGTCACAGTGTCCCGTAGGATTTTGAAGGAATCAAGAAGTTTCTCACAAATAATTCTCTACAATTAAAATATGTTCTGCACTATCAGAAAAAAAAATGCAGAATTCTTTTATTTTGAATTTTATCTTTTTTTTCATACTAAAATTTTTGCATAAAGTGTTGGTCAGTTATGGGTATACCTAAGATCTTTAAGATCTCTTTTCCAGCTTCTGTACCATTTTCAAATGGCACGATGTAATTTAGAATTAAAGCTCTTTATGGAACAGTTCATGCATCCTTTCATTGTGATACCTTAAAGCAATTAAATCATTTAGTTCTTACTGCACAATCTGCTTCTTGTAGCCTAGAAATAGGGAAGTTTTAGTACAAATACATACTAATAATGATTTTAAATGCATATATTTGTTTTCAGTTTTTTTGAATTTAAGTAAAGCTCTCAATTATCAATATAAAATACATAAGAGACTCAGTGTAGGTGTCATGTTTTTCTCCTGACTTTCACTCTGTCTCACAATTTAATTATTCTTTCATTTCACAGACAAATAAGGAGGCACCTGTCTGGTACAGGAAACTGCAACAGAAAACATCATCTTAACACTTTTGCAAAAAATATTCAAGATAACTTTTGGGGGAAATTTTCTTTGAAGATATTTTCACCATAATCATGTCGCTGTTGCCATGACGATAAAAAAATGATTTCATTTTCAACTATACTTTTCAACCCGTGAAACAGTTTTACAGTTCTTAAAATAACTTTGAGTGTCGTGTGTGTGTGGAAATAATGCATGCAGTGATTTTACTAATATGTATTTGAATTTCAACAAGATAAATAAATGCTGACAAATTGTATGCATTTATAACACGGGCTATTAAAGGGCTTCTTATTCAAGAGTGTTCAAATGAATGCACGTTTCAGCTTTTTTATATTGTTTTTCTTTGACACTGTGTTTCATTCCAAATTCCTTGCAACTACTCTGTCTTATAGAAATTTAAGAAATATACACGAGTTTCGCATCAGACTATATCTGACTTTTGATAAAGGAATTTATGACAGGTGAAGAAAATAAAAAAYTCCTAATCAGTCCCACAATTTTGTCTTTTATTTTGATTTTTTTTTCCCAAGAGTCATTAAAAGTCTTCTGAAAAAGCAGTAAAATGCAGACTGATTATCAGCTCTGACACTTTATGGGCTAGATACACTTGCTCTTGTCTAGTTATAACAGTGTAAGAATGATAGTAGAACTCAGATGTGCGTGCTGCAGTTGTGCAAAGGCARAATAGGTAATTTGACATTTTTAGCTGTATCAAAGTAAGCAGCATCTTYCAGGAATGCAGCCCATTTGTTCACTCCATTGCGGCACATGTTTAGGCTGTAGCAAAGGTTTGTAAGAGTACAGACCATTTTAAAGCACCTCTGATTGCTTATGCTTCATTTTATATGTAACATAAACAGACRGTTTTGTTCAAAGTGACTGTGCACTGAAAATACTGCTCAGATTTACACGAAAGAGGAAGTTCCTTTTTTTCATTTCCCTCTTTTCCTGACGTCGTCTCTGCAACTGATTCATCGCTCCTTGCTGGACATGAACAGTAACTGCTCACTATATATAAATACTGAGGCATGCCAAGCTTCTATTTCTTAGAAAGGCTTTTCTCCTTTTTGCAAACAGCAATACTTTTATTCCAGGTGACCTTCATTTTTTTTATTTTTTCCCAATTCTAGGCAAATGGCATAAAAGCAGCAGCAGTGTTTACTGCATAGYTTTAGTTTAGTAGTTGTTAGATCAATAACAGCTAATGAGCAGGCAATTTCTGATTCTGTTTCAAACAGGTAAAGAGCTAATAAACTAAATCTTATTTAGTCCCCAAATAAACAACCAAAAATTTGTGAATATTCAACTTTAACTAGTATAACAAAAAGTACAGAATACAYTTGTATTCTGCTTCATCTTCTGATCAAAATTGGATACATATAGGGAAAAAAGATATTCCTGAAGTGATAAATATTTTGAATGCCAAGCAGGTTTATGTGCTAAAGCATATCACAGGATTAAATTTTTGATGCTCTGAATAAGGCAAAGTATGCAGGCAGAAGTAATACCTTATTAGACTTATATGGTGTTCACTGGAAAAAAATGCACAGATCTGCATAAACCTTGGTATGATGAAGTCTAGGTTTTCATTGAATTCATATTTTTTTACATTAATTAAATCATTAAACATTTTTTTCAGGTGAAAGATCTCATATTGCAGATGTGAATTTCGTAATTTTGTAGAAAATATTTCTTATGATTCAGTGTCCCYAGCTTAACTTCTCAGGCTGTCCTGTTTGTGTGTTATCACCCAGTGATCTATAAATTGTATTATCTAGAAGGATTGTAAACTGCTTTATATAAGAGACATACTTGGAGTTGTATTTTTTCTCCCACAYTGTAGCCAAATTGATGGCATATGCACTATAAGGTGGATTAAAAAAATGGCTGAACTGCCAGGCTCAAGGAATTGGGATCAGCAACTCAAAGTGCAGCTGGTAGCACCCTACTATAACACACCAGCATCCCGTGCCATAGGAGAATCCTGGAGAAGTTCAAAGGCAATACCAGATTTGAGGAGGAGAGTCCATACGGTGGTGACAAGGATGCAATTYAGAGGCACCTTCGAGGGACAGGCTGTAAACAGGGGTATTTGGGCACCTCAGAAAGTTCAAGAAAAACAAAGAATCTCCCACCTGGGGTGGAATAACCTGGTGTTGCTTGGGGAGCAACTGGCAGAAAAAAAAACTCAGGTTCCCAATGGACAAAGAGTTGAAAAAGAGCAGGGCACCCTTGGAGCAGGTAAAACCAACCACATCTTGGGCTGTGTGAAGAAGGCCAAGGGAAGTAAATATTGCCCTCCATTTGGCACCTGTGAGACCACACACAGAGTGAGAGAGACATGGACATATTGGAGCAAGTCCAGCAGAAGTCCATCTAGATGGTCAAGGGCTGAAGCCTGTAAAGGAGAGACTGAAGGAATGGGGCTTCTTCAGCCTTAAAAGAGAGGGCTGCGAGGGGATCTTTTCCCTCAGCTACCTGAAGGCATAGCAGAGAGACCATGGAGCCAGAAGAGCATAGTGACAGAGCTAGAGCTAGAACTAGAGCTAGAACTAGAAGCAGCGTAGCTGAGTTGGAGCACAGAAAATCTCAAAGGGCTATTACMAAAAGTGTTTCTGCAGTGAGGGAAGGTGGTCAGACACTGGAATGGGTTGGATACATTTGAGAGAGGTGGCAGAATCTTCATCCTTGGAGATACTCAACACTTAGCTGGACAAAGTCCTGAACAACCTGATCTGATTGGACCTTGTTGATCAGAGGGTTGACCTAGATGACTGACATTCAGAATTCTCTTCGAATCTAAATTATTCCATGATAATATTTTTACTGATTTCAGATAGTGATACTAACTTACTTGCAGACATGCAACAGACAAAAAATTTGTAACTCTTCTATAGAAATACACTAAACAAGAATATTTTGATGTTTACAGAATGAAATATGCTTTGTGACATACTGTGTCCTCCAGATAACCCGACTTTCTAGGAAAAGTGACAGAAAATTAGTCCGGTTTCTGGTGATTCTTGGTGTCAAATTTTATTGACATGCAAGCAGTTCCTCAGATGACAGGTAGATTACTCTTAAGAGAAAAAAAAAAAAAAAAGGTTTCTTTTCCCCAGATAATTACTAATAAACTCCAACTGGAAATTCAGAAACATGTAAGTAGGATAATTTACATGTATATATATAGCACATACTTCTGTCAGTAAATTCTAACTCGTCCTTGTGCAAATCTGCTCAATGTGGTTTGTTTKTTGTTTGTTTGCAGTGGAAGGCTTTGTCTCTTCATTAAGCTCTCAGGCTATAGCTAATTATCCAGGAGGAGRCCTTATAGCCTTTTCATGTGAGAGCTAGAATGTCACTTAAATATAACTATTCAAATATGAAATGCCCTACAGCCAAAATTAATGAACCTTATTGCTCTTTAGGTAACGAAAAAGTTCAGTTGCTTTACCTGTATAGCATTTTTATTGATGTTACTTCCCACAAACATAGTCGTCAGAAGAATTATTCCAGAATGCTTCGTGAAATGGTCTTTGCAGTTCCCCATTACAGAAGGTCTTATGTCGATGATCTGTGAGTCAAAAATAATGAGGTAAAGAGACATTTCTAAGGGTAGTCATGCACACAAGCAGCTTGTGACTGGAGTGCCCAGCCCACATAATCATCCAAAGTTCCTCTTTTTCTACCCAAAGAGGCCAAAGAAAGAAAAATGTCTATCCTGTATTACATTTCTTGTACATTAAGTTGCTGTTTCTTAAGTGTTAATTTTCCTGAGTAAATGGGTTGAACTAGAAAGAGGGAAGAAGAGTCAGTTTAGAGCAGGTTATATTTTTTTTTTCTTTTTACAGTATAATTGTTCTCTCTCATTTCAGTCTTTTGCTAGAAGCAAAGTAGCTTCCAAATCACCAAGGAAATGGCCTGATCTGGATTTTTTTTTTTTAATGAAAACTTGAACTAAGTTGGTAAGAAGCTAAAATATCTTAAATCTTGTTTGTTGAAAAAATTTATTGGTGGTGGTGCTTCTAAATATCTTCTGTGCAAATAAATACTATGTAATTGGGCTTTGCAGCCCTCCCTCCCTCAAAAGGAGGCTGTAGAGAAGAGTCATGAACCCTTGGAAAAGAGGAACAGTTTTAAATTTAAGTATTAGTTGACTATTTGTCAGTGTCTTTTGGATAGGATTTGCTGATTTYCTACATTCACCGTTATTTTCAATTTCATTTATCTTTTTGTGTGATATCTAGTTCCAGCAAAAGGGAAGACCGGCTCTGTTAAGCCTCTTGCATCTGCAAGACRGTCAGAATTTTTCTGTCCCTGCTTTGTGTTCATCAGCTTCCATGTCTTCATAGGAGCATTTGGTAGGAGACTAGRAAGCTTGAATTTCTAGAAACAAGTTGGTACTTTTTGAAGAGGTCATTTGGACTGTGAATTTAGATGCCTCCATTAATTTTAAATCTGTTCCACATTTTTTACAGGAAAACAAATTTATACGCAGCACGTTGTCTGTAACATTCTCTCATATTTTCCATACTCATTATTCTCATTGGAGAGGTCTATTGAGGGAAAAATTAATTTCCCTGCTACTGTTAGCATTTGATAGAACACATGCCAGACTTGACTAAGTCAAAGAAATGTATCCCTGGTATTTTCTTAGACCAAATAATATAGAGGATCTGTATTCATTCTTGACCTTTGAAAATGAAACAAGTACCTCCAGAAGATCAAGTTTTGCTTAGTGTCTTTGGAAAATATTATCCCCTTCTTAAAATTCCCAGGATTGATTGGAACTCCTGACCTTTAAGATGCCTGCGTCCATAGCTCAATAAGGCAGTTGCACTTGGGGCGTTTCGGAGGGAAGCTGGGCAGCAGCAGCAGCAGCAYCGGGTGCTAACGCGCGGTGGGACGGCGGCACTGCCGGAGCACGTGGGGGCTCMCGTCGGGAATCACGGAAGACTGGAGGAAACAGTGCGGACATTCCCAGGGSAGAAGCAGCTGGTGATCAGGACCCCGTGGGTCT